TAGAGCATTGCTCGATGATGTTGACCTCTGTGGAAGAGGTCCAGATAATCCACAAAGGATGTATGACCTTTTCGAGATTGTATGTCAGAGCACTGCTCGATAATATATACCTATGTGGAAGAGGTTGAGAAAATCCACCAAGGATTTATGACCTATTCGAGGTTGTTTGTCAGAGCGCTGCTCGATGATATTAACCTTTATGGAAGAGGTTGAGAGACTCCACAAATGATGTATGACCTTTTCGAGGTTGTATGTCAGAGCACTACTCAATGATGTTAACTTATATGGAAGATATTGAGAGAATCCACAAATGATGCATGTCCTATTCGAGGTTGTATGTCAGAGCACCGCTCGATGACGTTAACCTTTGTGGAAGAGGTTGAGAAAATCCACAAAGGATGTATGACCTTTTCGAGGTTGTATGTCAGAGCACTGCTCGAAGATGTTAACCTGTGTGGAAGAGGTCGAGAGAATCCACCAAGGATGTATGACCTATTCAAGGTTGTATGTCAGAGCGTTGTTGGATGATGTTAACCTTGTAGAGGAGGTTGAAAGAATCTACCAAGAATGTATGACCTATCCGAGGTTGTATGTCAGAGCATTGCTCGATGACATTAACCTATGTGGAAGAGGTCGAGAGAATCTATCAATGATGTATGACCTATCTGAAGATGTACGTCAGAGCCCTGCTCGATGACGTTAACCTATGTGGAAGAGGACGAGAGAATCCACCAAGAATGTATGACCCATTCGAGGTTGTATGTCAGAGCTCTGCTCAATGACGTTAACCTATGTAGAAGAGGTCGAGAGAATCCACCAAAGATAAATTTTGCCTTGATTAGGAGAGGGCGAATGTAGCGTGTATAACAAATCAAAGGTGAAGAATGGTCTATCTTCAGACCATTACTGCTTTTTTGAGTTCGAGATTAAGACATTGCCCAAGGAGTAAAAGTCTAGCAAGGGACTGTATAAAGCTTATAATTGATTGAAAGCATCAATGCATTTGCTGGAATTTTCCTGAAATATTATCTTGATGTTGAATGGTGGAAATATACATCATATAGAGTGTGTTACATGGAGGAAATAGGAAAAATCACTGTTGATGTGTTCGCTTGGTCGGAAGGGTTATAGTCGATGGGCGACAGAGGTCGAAAAAACTATAGTCGGTGGGCGACGGAGGCCATAAAGACTGTTGTTTGGCGAAGGATGTCAGAATGATAGCGTCGAGTAGAAGTCCAATGATGGACAGAAGTCCAGTATCGGATAGAAGTCCGACAAATGTCCGACAACGGGCAGAAGTCTGGCATCGGGTAGAAGTTCAGCACGGGGAGAAGTCTGATGGAAGTCCGGTGACGGGCGAAAGTTTGGCGTCGGGCGGAAGTCCAGCATTGGGTAGGAATCCGACGACGGGCAGAAGTCCGGTGTCGGGTAGGAATTCGACAAAAGGCGGAAGTCCAGCGTTGGGTAGAAATATGTCGATGGACATAAGCCCGACATCTTATAGAAGTCCGACAAAAGCCCGACGACGGGCAGAAGTCCAGCGTCAGGTACAAGTCCAACGTTGGGTAGAAATTTGGCGACGAGTGAGGTCCGACGTCGGGTAGAAGTCTGGCGTCGAGTAAAAATCCAGTGACGAGCGGAGGTCCGGCATTGGGTAGAAGTCTGACATCAGTCAGGGGTCGGGCAGAACTCTGGAGTCAGATGGCATTCGGGCAGAATTCCAACGTCAATAGGCTGTCGGGTGGAATTCTGGCGGTGGTTGAGGAAGAGTCTGGTGACAAGAGAGCTCTCTTTCTTCTCTTCCTTTTCTTCCTTCTCTTCTTGCTTCGTTACTTAATTCCGGCGTCAGTTGGTTATAAATTATTTTACAAGTGAAAAAAAGGTTTAGCAAATCATTGTGCCAATTTTATCAAATAAATTTCACCTCAAAATCATAAAAGACAGTAAAAACTTTTTTCAGTTATTTTCCTTCAATGTTCTCACTTCTAGCTATATTTCCATTAATGAGATCATTTTCCAAAATAACATTTTGGATGATGATAGTGATAAATTTTAGCTATTCGTTCAAGCTTTTACAACTTCTCGTATATCTGTCTCAAATAAAATTTCATACTCAGTGAAAAAGATTCTAATAGACCTATTAAACATAGACAATGCTGGAGATTGCCAGATCATTCATCTTCTCATGACATTGAATAGGAACAAAGGAATGAAAACCTTAATTTGATTTTGAAAAGCCAAAAATTCAAATGCTTTCCCATAACAATTTTTGTAAAGCATAATTGTTTGGGTGCACTTCTTGCAAACATCTTAGGTTGTGCTCTTTTAAAAGGTTTTTTGAAATTTTCTCATTAAAAAAATACAATTCAAGCCCTCCTAGAAAGATAAACTCTCACTAGAGGGGACTATTTTGTTCTTACTAATTTAGTGCTTTCTTCTATACCTCTTCACTATTTCTCTCTTTTGGATTCCATCATGTGTTATCAAGAAAATTGATGATGTAGGAAGAAATTGTCTGAAGGGTAATGATGAAGGGGTGGTCTTAACCTCGTCAAGTGAAAAAACATTTGTAAATCATAAGATAAAGGTGGTCTTGGCAACAAAGACATCTACATGATGAACTTGTCCCTCAGTAAATGGATATGGAAGTTGATTGCTACTAATAATGGATCTATTGTTGGATAGTTGATATATTGTTCAAAGGAAATATTTAAATAAGCTTAAATCTTTAGATTCTTGTTTAGTATTGTAAATTGTTGCTCCAACTTTATTAAAAGGGTCTCCAAAGCTACTTTACCTTTGTTTATACTTGGGAAGGCCATAATGGTAAACGAATCAACTTTTTGGACAATTGGATCAATAATTCCTCACTCGTTTGACAATTTGATAAACTTCTCCGCTTTCTTAGAAATAGTAATATTATTAACTTCTCTTCTTTTTTTAGTCAGTAGGAGCCATAGATTACGAAAAGGGATCATTCATTTTTACCTTCAGGATAGCAAGGAAGTATTTTTATCAATTAACAAATGGCTTAAATTGTACTTTAATCAAGACATTCCGCATTGGCTTCTATCTCATAATAGAAATTTCCACTGACTTCCTCTGATTATTTAATATTAGATAGTGGTGTACACAACCCAAGCTTGCTCTTGGATCTAAAATTCAAATATTCCTCTTAAAATTTTAACAATTGTTTGGTTGCTTCTATGATGATAATTCCCAGTATGGTCTCCTTAATGACTACCAGTATTATTAATAATGCTACTTATGTCATGACTGAAGGTAAGGTTGAGGATGAATTCCATATTTTTTTGGGCACAATTCTATGTCAATATAAGGAAGAAACTAAGTTCTTCTGGCATAAATACATCTATTGATAACATAGATTCAGTTTTTTTTCTCTTGGAGATATGTTCGTATCAGCAAGGACTGAAGAACTTATTGAGATTTTTTCCTGCCATATTTATACTTTGAAATAGATAGAATGTTAGGTGTTTTTCTTGACAAGAAAAAGGAAGAGAGAATCTTATGGTTTAACATCATCAAGTATCAACCATACTTGAAGATGTACTGTTCACTGGATCCAGCAGGATTTAACATCATCAACTATCAACCATACTTTAAGATGTACTGTTCACTGGATCCAGCAGAGCTACTCTTATCCTTTAATTAGTCTTGTACTACCTTATGCATATTTTGTTATTGTTTTCTTTACTTTTATAATAGTAAACTTTATTTTATTGTTTAGCTTTTACTTAGACGTCAATATAAAACTAAACATTAACGAACCAATAACAAATTTTTTTGTTGGTTTGTAAGTATTTTTGTTTAACCCACCCCAAATTTTTTTGTTTAGCTACTACAAAAACCCTCGGATCTAAAAAAAAAAAAAGGAATTTCCATGTCCATTTATTTAGTTTGCTATGTATCATCATATATTTCTTTAAGTTAAAAACTTAGATTTTTTATTGCATCATTTTGTTCTTATTTCAGAAGAAAAAAGAAACATATTTTTACGTTATTTGATATGAAAAAAAGCAATAATCTATTTTAAAGAAGTTATTAACCTAGAAGGCCTTTTGCATGATCAAAATATTTGGAAACTGACACAATTTAAAAAGCAATATTTAAACTGCGTTGGCTAATTTTAGAGGTTTTTTTAATTTCAAAACATTTGATGTATAATTAAAATGATATAGATACCCAAAAATCTTGAAGTAAATTAAATATTTAAAGAGTTATATTATTAAAAACTAGTGAAAGGATTCACGAATCAACCTTAAGCCCAAATCTTTTTTGCTTTAGTCATGGATGTTCTCACTAGACATTTGCAAGAGGATGTACCTTGGTGTATGCTTTTTGCTGATGATATTCTTCTTGTTGATAAGACTAGAGAGAGAGTTGAAGGTAAAATTGAATTATGGAGGTCAACCTGAGTGTAAATGCTTTAGTTTGAGTAAATCTAAAATTGAATATATGGAGTGTAATTTTAGTAATAATAGATCTAGTGGGGAGATTGTGACTTTGCGCGATCAAGTCATTAATAAGAGTACATGTTTTAGATATCTTAAGTCTATTGTTCAGAGTGATGGTGAAATAGGTGGGGATATTATTAGTATAATTCAAATTGGATGGTTGAAGTGGAGGATGCATTGGGCTTGTTGTGTGATAGAAATATCCCCCTCAAACTTAAGGAAAAATTCTATAAGATGGTAGTGAAATCTGCAATGTTTTAAGGTGCATAATGAGAATTTAAATCTTAACATAACACAATGGAGAAAAGGATTAATGTAGATTACCCCGCATAGTAGGATAAAGGCTTGATGATGTTGTTGTTGTTGATTAAAAACTAGTGAAATATGTATGTTGTTAATTCTGGATGCAATTACAAATTTTCAATTGAATAATTTAAGACCATTAAATGAAGTCAAAAACAGTTATAACTTTGACCCAAACATGATTTAACAGATAAAAGATGCGGCAAAAGAAAATAAACTCACCTTGTACTAGCATAGATAAAGCAGAACCAAGTGATGCATTGGGTCTAAGCATTGCTATTGGACGTCTATTTGCTTCCCCAACATTTGGAACCCAAGAACCCAAGGGTATGTTGCATATTGGTTGCTGTAGTATAGGCAAAGAACTAGAAGAGTGTCTAAAATGTCTACAGATACCTGAACATTTAAAATAGGAAGTTAGAAGTTAAAACTGATTCCATCATGCATAAAGGCTGAGAAAGATTGGTGCACAATGCTATAACCGTGTAAGAAGATCATATCCATGGCAAAATGACAAGCAACATACATCTAAGAATTCCTGAAAGAGAAGCAAGATGCAATAATTGAGGGAATAATCCATCGGGCGAAGAAGAATGGATAATGGGAACTGTAGCCACCTCATTCCGGAGTATCTTTATGGCTACATCCTTTAATGTATCATATGGACCAGCCTGCATATATAACAAAGAATAGGTTATAATTATGTTCTTCTTATTCATTTTGGTGAACTGGGATTGATGATTTTATTTGGCCATTTACATCAAAGAAAAGGGAAAAGCATTTAAACTCAAAGGGCAGTCAAATACTTGACCTAACCCACATTTCAAAAAAAAAAAAATCAAGATAAAAATTTTTGCGATTCTAAATATACTGTGCCATACATTTTCCATTTTGTTAAGCGCGCACATATATATACATATATATTTATATCTGCAGAAATTAGAAACCAACTCCCTCAAACTACCTGACAACTCAAATTCCTCAAACCATGTTCATGGTTCCTGAATCGTATCAACAGTTATAGCCTACTTCCATGCACCATAATTTAAAATATTACCAATAAAATATAGAGAAGAATGAAGTAACAAAACCAAATTAATGTTTCATTGTATGCAAATATTATGGAAGATCATCAGCAGCAGCAGCAATTACCAATTATTTGGTGTCAACTTTACAAATATTAGTCATTTGACATTAATTTCAAATATCCATTTTGTTGGTGCATATTCAATCTTCGCAATCAATGCACAAACCAAGTTTATTTTCTACCATTTTATCCTCCAATGAATGCTACTCCCACCAACCTAATAAAATAATTATTTCTCAATGCATATTTCTAATATTTCAAAAAATATCCATCTTAACACTCATTTCCTATAAGCTCAACTTATCAATCAATCACTTCTTTACCAGACACTCAGTTCTATATAATATAATGGGCCTAAGTGCAATTTTACTAAGATTAACTTTAAAGTCCTATTTAGCTGATGCCTTAGCAGCGCTTAGTCTTGCTAAAGCACCAAATGTTGTAAAGCTTCCCCCCTTTTACCCTTTTCTTAAGGGTGGCATTTCCCTTAAGTAGTCATAAGCTTGCCTTAAGCTAAGTGCATTGCAAACCTCGCTTACTGATGCAGGACTAAATATGTTTTTAAATGAATGCTATAAGAACTTGCACGTTTTGAATAAGAGCAAATAGTAATTAAAACTGTTAGCCACTAAACGATGATAGAAAATGAAAGATGGGTAGCTACGCTTAGACCAAATCACATGCTAAGAACATGAATCACCAAAGTAATTTAGAATTTCAACAAAAAGCAAATTAAATAGTTATTCAATAAAATCCTTAAGTTAACATTGAGATTATGATGCAAGCACACTAGATAGAAAAGCCAAACAAGGAGAACAATGGGCAAAGCTATAACCAAACTCGATTCAAATAGTAGCAATCATCTATTAGCATCAAAACCGACGGATAAAACAAGAAGAGAGATTAAAAGAAATAAAAAAGTCGATATCCTCAAAACAACCGACAGAACGGTTTCCTCACATGCATCGAAATGTAGGTTAAGTAAAATATGTGCTTAGGGCTAGCAAACCGATGGTCCACCACAGCAAGATAGTCCAAACGTCCAAACCAAACTCCTCCAGCAAATGCTCCCAAATCAGCCAACAAGTATCATCTCAGCTCAAGAAGAAGAATACAAATTGAGTGGAACTTGCGTAGAGAAGAAAGAGGTAAGAACCCCATAAGAAATAGAGAAGAAGAGGAAGTGGACAAAGCTCTCAAGCTTTTCCAAGAAGAAAAACCTCAGGTTTTTAAAGAGACGATGCTCAACAATTTTCAACAACCTTTCCCCTCAAAAATCATCTTCTATATATAGGCAAGACTGGGGAACCAAACAACCATAAACCTCTCAAATAAGCCAATTAGATTTTAGGAAATGAAAGGCCAACAACCACAACAGCAATTCCCAAACGTTTCAGCAAAACAAAGAAAGAAACTCACGGAGCCAAGCAGGGAACCGCAAAACCGAGCAGCCTAGCACGGAACCAAGCAGGGAACTGCAAAACCGAACAGCCAACCACGGGAACCAAGGGGGCAAAGGCACGGGAAAACCTCCCACCATAAGAAACCAACAGCCAATTACGGAAACCCAAGGGTTAGAGCACGGGAAATCACCCAGCTTAGGGAAATGAGAAGAAAAAAGGATAGGAGAAGAGACAAGTCCACTCCAAAATGAATCCAAGACTTAAGAGCAAACCTTTTTAGATTAATGAGCTAGGTAGTTCAATAAACCTCCCAATAAATGAACTAAACTTCAGCTCCACATTAATGAGCTAACAACTTAGAGAGTAAAGCTCAAACCGAGAACCATGAGCTAACTCGAGAACCATCAGCAGCCCAAGGACCCATCAAGATAGCAAACCAAGGTCTACCAAGCCCAAGCACAACCTACCATGATCATTGGATGCTTTCCCATCATTGGATAGCTAAAAAAATACAAAAACTAAATTAAAAACTAATGTTCAATATTCGATAATGAAAATACAGAAATTATGATTGCATCAGATTAGAAACATAGAAAGCAAAACTCAAATCCTATGTTTACTAAGAGAAGGCAGAGAGCTTGGCACATGTCCTCGTGCTTGAATCACCACCTACAAGAGTAGAGGATTAGAAAATAATTTGAACAGGAGGAGAAGTTCACCCTCGTCAAGGACCAGAAGTAATTTGCCACTGAACGTTGGCAAGTTGCTCTTCGATTACTTCGGACAAAATGAAGATGATGCGATCCAGGTATTCCTCGATGGTGGTGTCTATTTATGGGTTGACGTCGAAGAATGTTTATTGTAGAATATCTGCGTGTCCTTACTCGTTGTAGACGAAGCCGGAATCAAGATTGGGATCAGCCATTCATCGATTTCATAGGGATGAAGGGTTGGAAACGAAGGTCTTTGCTTTTCTTAAGAACTCCTCTTGAGAAAAAGAAGTTTCTCTCAAGAGTTTAAGTGGAGAAGAGGGAGGTGGCCGACCCAATGAAGGAGGCTCAATGATTGGGAATTAAATGCACTTCCTAGCCCATTATTTCAAAAAGGTATGCTATTATGTCTTGGATTCATTTTGGAGTGGACTTTGCCCCTTCTCCTCCCTTTGTCTCTTCGGTTTCCTCCTCGCTTTTGATGTTCCCGTGGCCCTTGGCTGTTTTCCCATGCTGCTGTTCCGTTCTCTATGCTGGCTCCTCGGGTCTCTTGCTGGCTGGGTTTCCCGTGGGTGCCTGCTGGGTTTCCCGTGACCTTCTTTTCTCTGTTTCCTGTACCGGGTTGGGGCTACTATGCTGTGGCTGTTGGCCTTTCATTTTCCTAAATCTAATTGGTTTGGATGGAGGTGTTATGGCTGTTTGGTTTCTCTCTTTTGCCTATAAAAATGATATATTTTGGTATGGAAAAGATTGTTGAAATTGTGAGTAAAAACTCTACAAAAACCTGAGGTTTCTTCTTGGAAAAGCTTGAGAGTTTGTTCCATCCCCTTCTTCTCTTCTCTATTTCGTCTTGGCTTCTAACCTATTCTTCTCTACGCAAATTCCACTCCACTTGTATCCTTCTTCTTGAGCTTTGGAAGTGTAGGTTGGCTGAAATTTGGAGACATTTGCCGGAGGAGTTTGGAAAGGACGTTGGACTCTTTTGTAGTGGTGGACCCTTGGTTTGCAAGCCTAAACACAATTTTCTTAAATTCCTACTTTCGTTGCATGTGAGGAGACTGCTAGACGGTTATATTGAGGATAGTGTTTTTATATTTTTATTTTGTTTTCGTTCGATTTGGCTTTTGTTTTTCCTAAGTTTGTTTGGATGTTTGCAAGTTACAATTGAATCGAGTTTGGTTTAAGTCTTGTCCTGATTTTCTCCGATTTGTCTCTTTACTTTAGTTTTTGCTTGCATTTATATTGTTCCTCTTTTCTTAGTAAATAGCAGATTATTATTTTTTAATAAAACATAATATTAGAACCAAATAAAGAAAAAAGCACACATGAGATAATTCCATGAAGATTAAAACTTAAAGAACAAAAACACGATTCAAGAAAATATGATCACAAAACATAATATTAGAACCAAATTCTCAATCGCGATACCTACCTTGTAGCTTTCTGAATATAGGAGAATGATAATCAACCCTTCTCTTATTTCAGCCCCTCCTAAAAAAAAATGAAATGAAATCTCCTAACCACTTGGGCTTTACTAGATGGTAAATTAACATCTGACTCAAAAAACGACATCCTCATCAATGACAATGGGAAAATGAGCTAACTCCACTGGAGGATTATAATAAGGCTCTTGGGAACGTATGAGTTTATAATATCCTCTTCAGAACTTAATATGGGAAGGGGAGGTTCTAAAGGCTATGATTCCATAATTCCATCAAATGCTTATTCCAAATTTTGCATGCAAGTCTAAACTGAGGGTGGAATTGCATCCACCAGGAGTGATGATAGATTTTAGTTATCTGCATGCTCCCCATTAACCGGATTATCTGGATTAATATCAAATGATATTATTAACTCCAGGCGAGATTGCAAGCAAACAAAATAATTATGCATGAAAATTTGCAAAAGGTGCAATATGACAAAATGCCTTCAAATATGTAACTAATATCCACAAGGGGAGGCCCAATCCAAATATTCTTCTAAACTAAACCCTAGTCATAGAAGGTCTAGACAGTCGAGCCATGGTAGGATAAAAAAATAAAGAACAAAGAATATAATGCAAACAGATTGAAAAATAACACCAAAAGCATCACATTAAGAACTTAAAGGTTATCTAATAAGAAGTCACACATTTCAACTGGGGAAACATAAAACAAATAGCAAAGACTGCATGCTTTCATAAATGATTTATTTTTTAATATATATTATGCATTATAATTTTTAGTGGATGAAGTTTTTTTTTTTGGTTTATAGATAATCTTCCAACTAATTTATTCATAGACATTAAATCTTTTATATTATCTTCAGCATCACTTTCTTTAATTTATCATGCATTTTTGTTTTCTATTTAGACTTCAATGAAATAAAGTTTATCCACATGTGCCAAAATTTGTCCCTTAATATTAATAAGAGGGATTTACATACATAAACTTAATCATGTTATTTACATATCTAACATCAAAAACTTTAAT